AGATCCCAGTCGTGTTCCTATCGGATATCTCACATGATTCTTAGAAGACCCTAATCGGATGCACAATTCCTCAGGACCCCAATCGGATTTCGATCGCATCGCAATTGGATTCCATTCGGATCCCAATCAAACTCCAACATGGTGTCCCAGTTGGATCCCATCAGGGTTTCAATGTGATTATTTATGATCCTTACTGCCCCCTGCTGGAATAAGGTGTTTGAGTTTTGATACTAAAACAACGCGGTCGGTGCATGGGTGGTGGAATCCCTCGTCGCGGTTTAAGTATGTCAGAGCAGAAGGATACGCAATTGCTTGATGTGGGGCCTCATCTGTAGTCTGCATGTCCGCAGTCTCTCCCCTCTTTGAGTCACATGTGCTGTGCTTGTTTTGCTTCTCTCTCCCTCTCTCTCTCTCTCTCTGGTCTTCCTCCTCGTCCGATGGCTTCCAAAGACTCGTCGTCGTCGTCGACCGACTTCGGCGGGCCCACGCGGCACCCCTCCCCTGGGGGCATCCGAAGCCAGCGCGTCCTCGTCGTCGTCGTCGTCGTCGTCGTCGTGGGCGCCGTCGTCGTCGACCGCCTGGCGGGCCGCCCACGTCGCCCCCCTCCCCTCCGTGTGGCATCCGCAGCGCGTCGTCGTCGTCGTCGTCGTCGTCGTCGTCGTCGTTGACCGGCTACGGCGGCTTCCCTGCAGCACACAGTGGAGGCCCATGACAACAAACATCCTGCCTGCCTCCAGGGTGCCCTGGGTTCCTGGGATTTGATGTTTCTGCGATGGCAAGCGTCACGTTCTCACGCCGGAAATCAATGGACGTCCTGGTGTCTCAGGGGTGGGTTTCTTGTGGAAGGTTTCTCGTGGACTGGCCTCTACTGTACGCACAGCACACACCCACACACTCGGGGCAGGCATCCGCAGCGCATCGTCGTCGTCGTCGTCGTCGTCGTCGTCGTCGTCGTCGTCGTCGTCGTCTTCGACTACGGCGGTTCCACGCAACATCACCCCCAATGGCGCGTCCGCATCGCGTCGTCGTCCTCCGTCGTCGTCGTCGTCGCCGTCGTCGTCGTCGTCGACCAGGCTCGATGATTCTGATGGTTTTCTTGGCCACATTAGCGTGGTGTCGATGAGAACCTAAGCAAGATTCCTCTTTCATGGGAGCGCAATACATAAGGCGTCCTCTCAACCCTTCTTGCTCCCGACGCCCACCTCCCGCGGAGTTGCTCAGGTAAAATTAATTCTGGGTATCAAACGAGACCGCTCAGCGGTTCCCCCCTCGGCGATTCATATTACTTGGGCGCTAGGCATAATGCCAAAGGGGATCGATAATTTCATATCACGGTTAGTCCGCCCGCGGGGTTGCGTGTATTTCATTCCGCCTCGTTTTCATTCCTCCCTTTTTGTCGTCCTACCGCCTCCCCTCCGCCTCGTTTTACCGCCTTCCTCTCTTCCTCCGCTCCCCTTCTCTCCGCCTACCCTCTGCTCCCGTTTCCCCTCCTGCCCCCCTCTTCCTGTTCCTCCTCCCGCCCCCCCGTCCTCCGCCTCGTCCTCCTCGTGTGACGGCGGCGACGGCGGCGAAGTCCATCCCCCCGACACGCACACACATACCCTGGCGGGCGACATGCGCCAGGGCAGGCAGGGTGTGGGCCCGGCAGGCCCGAGAAGAGAACACATACGGTCGGGAACTGTTGCTCTGCGTATCGCGCCGCCGGTTCAATGGCCCACCGCGCCTCGGAGGGACACGCCGTTCACGTCCCAGCCCCCAGGCGTCATCGCCCCCACCTTGTCCCAGCCTTCCGCACCTCGGACTTGAGCGACAATTCATGCGGATGCTGGCCAGCGCCCACGCATCCTGGGTGCGCGGGCGCTGGCCAACATCTCGGCTGACGAAGATCCCTGCGAAAAAGGCCGGCGTCGAGAAGGTTCTGCTCGCGCGTACATGCAGTGTCCCAGCCATCCCCTCCTCCTCCTCCTCCTCCTCCTCCTCCTCCTCCTCGTCGTCCTCCTCCTCCCCCTGATCCTCGTCCTCCTCCTCCTCCTCCTTCTCATCCTCCTCCCCCTCCCCCTCCTCCTTCTCCTCCTCCTCGTCCGCCTCCTCCTCCCCCCCCCTCTCTCCCCCTCCCCTCCTCCTCCCCCTCTCCTCCTCCTCCTCCTTCTCCTCCTCCTCCTCATTCTCCTCCTCCTCCTCCTCCTTCTCCTTCTGCTTCTCCGTCTCCTTGGGGGCTATCCGCCCCTGGTGCAGCCGTCGGCGCAGTCTGTCGCCCGCGAGGGGCATCCGCCGTCCGTGGGCGTCGGGGAAGGCTGCGTGTCGTGTGCCTCCCCCCGCACCTGCCAACACACGCAAGCGCGCGGCCGTGCAGAGCACGGCGTGTCAGTCAGCCAGCGCGCGGCGCTGGGGTTTTGGTTGGCCACGCGGCCACGGCACAGCGCAGCTTCGGACTTGCTCTCCTGGCCACGGACGCCGGGGCACTGCTGCTGTTTTTGTTCTGCGCGCGCCGGAGGCGCGCACTGGGAGGAGGAGGAGGAGGAGGAGGAGGAGGAGGAGGAGGAGGAGGAGGAAGAGGAGGAGGAGGAGGAGAAGGAGGAGGAGGAGGAGGAGGGTGAGGATGAGGAGAAGGAGAAGGAGAAGGGGGAGGAGGATGGTGAGTCGAGCGGAGGCCAAGGCAACACACAAATTCACGCGGTCTGGCGCTTTCGCACAGCCGCTGCGGGCCTGGGGAGGGAAGGAACGCGAGGGCGCGGGCCCGGCCGCGGCGCTCGGCCTTCTCCGGCTGTCCTGGATTTCTCGCCGATGTCCTGGACACGGCGGCCTGTGCCCGCCAGGAGCGCCAGGCCTTCCAGACCGCGCTCGGCAGCGGTGTTCGCAGCCGCGTTGGGCTGCAGCCGCTCTTCGGCCCACTGGACTTGCTGGCGAGCGCGCCGTGGCCGGCGTTCGGCGTTCGCTGGTTCCACGTCGTCGGTGTGGGTCGGGACCCAGACGGCGTCCCATCTGTCCAGATCTGTCCAGGGCTGGGATGGCGAGCTGCGCGATCCAGCGCCAGAGGGCGGATGCTTCCCCAGCTTCACTGGCCGCCGCGGAGCTTCAGAGACGATATGCAGGCCATGAAGCACTGCGTCGATGTCTATCGGCAGAAGCACGCCGTGTCTGGGCAGGTCCGCCTGCTGCAGCGAGAACAGGACAACATGGACTTCCGCCCTGCATGGCGCGCCGGACGGTCAAGCTCACGTTGGCGCTGACCCCGCCCCAGGCCGCTCGGCGAAGGCGACGGAGGAGGAGGAGGAGGGGGATAAGGAGAAGGAGGAGGAGGAGGAGGAGGAGGATTAGGAGGAGGCGAGTGGTGACGGCGGCACGGTGCAGGAGCTGGGGGAGGCACTGTCTCTCTGCTCTGTTTTTTTGTTCTCTCTCTCTCTCTCTCTCCATTTTTCTTCCTTCTCTCTCTCTCTCTCTCTCTCTCTCTCCCCCCTTCCGTTGCACTTTGGGTGGTGTACAGGTGCAGTAGCAGCAGTAGCTCCAGTTCGGTGTTTCGGATTCTTGCTATGTGTGTGTGTGTGTGTCTCTCTGTGTGTGTGTGTCTGTGTATGTGAGGCGACTTGACTGCGGCTTTCTACCTGGAAGCGGCGAGCGCCCTGCGGTCACTACAGAGGCCTTGGGGTGCTAAGTTAAACTGCGCGTACGCCTCAGCCGAGGGCCCCCATGCATCGGGAAGAAATAGGAGGATGATGAGGAGACTGAGTAGTCGAGCGGAGGATGATGAAGCGGAGGAGGAATCGAGAGGAGAGGAAGGAGGAGGATGTTGGAGCAGCTGACTGCGTCTCTGGACTGCGTGTAGCAGGGGGTGGTGCCCCAGGGCAGGCCCACCCCGCTGCGAGCTCCCGCCGCCCCAGAGGGCCTGCGGGCCAGCGCCACCCAGACCCCCGACGTCATGATTCTTTCGCCACGCGACCCCCGGGGGTCTGGACCCCTTCCCCGGGACCGGTCTCTCGGCCCGCGTCGCTGTCCGCCGGCCCCGCGGGGGCCGGCGAGGCCCCCCCCCCGGAGGCCGAGAAAGGGGCCCCAGACCTCCCGTCGTGATGCCTGTCGCGACGCGAGGGGGTCCGGCGACGGGTCGGCGGGCGGCACCCCGTTGGGGCGCCCGCGAGGACTGCGCCCGCTCGGTGCAGGCGCAGGGCGCGTGCACGGGGCACGCGGCCACATACGCACGCGGCAGGCAGCCGCGCAGCCGCCCGCCCGTGCAGAGCACCCCTCCCGTAAGGTTACGCAAGTCGGGCCTGTGCCTCTACACCGGGCGAATATTCGAAAATTGGCAGAAACTAGTCCGTGGACATTTTTGGATTTCTTTTCCTTTTTATATTTACAGCAATTTTTTTATTGTGATTAATTTTCGAATATGTTTTGACTACTTTAAGCCCTTTGCCCAAGATGCTGTCTGGAGGGAGACACGCCCGACCCAAGCGTACGTGCCCCTTCCCCAGACCCCCGACGTCATGATTATTTCATGACGCGACCCCCAAAAGTCTCGACCCCTTCTCCGAGACCGGTTCTTCATCCCGAGTCGTTCCTTGGACGGCCCCGAGGCCCGGTGAGGGTCCCCAGAGACCGAAAGCAGCGAAAAACCTTCGGACGTGATTCCTGCCACGACTCGAGGGAGCCGCTGGCGAGGCCGCGGCACACGATACGCCCCCTGGAGGTTCCTGGAAGGCTCCAGACGGGCTCGCACCGTGAGATCCCTCAAGGTGCCCGAGGGCCCACAGGATGTGCCCGCGCCCGCTCGCCCAGGCCCCAGGGGGGTCCCGGGTTTCGGCGCAGAGAGGGGCGTGGCCGCCGACGGGGCCGGGGAAGAGGGCCACCACTGGGCGCAGCTGACCCACCCACGGCACCCCCTCGAGGCATGCACGAGTCACGACGGGAGGTGTTATGCTCTCTTTTCGGCCTCTGGGGCCCTCACGGGGCCTCCGGGCCGTCCAGAAACGCAGAAACGACACGGGATGAGAAGCCGAAGCCGGTCCCAGGGAATGGGTCCTGCGTGGCGGTTCCCCCCCTCCACCCCTGATTTGGTGCACGCGCTTGAGCTGGGCACGGCGCGCCGATGCGCTTGACCGCTCGCTCTGCGCGCGCGTCGCAACAAAGAAGGTCGCGTCACGAAAAAGTCTGAATCATGACGTCGGGGGTCTGTGTCGGCCGCGCAAGCAAGTCATGTCAGGGCATGCCTGGATCCGTCACCGTTCTGTGTGCTGCCAGTGTGACGGCCTGTCTGGTGTCGGTTGTTGGCGGGGGACCCCCCGAAGCGGGCTGCATCTGCTTCGCACGCGGGGAAGACGAACAGACAGGAGGCGAGGAGGGACAGAGGCGGAGGGAGTAGGGTCGAAGAGGGGGTCGGGGACCGAAAATGATGGTGGAGGGGTGGTCGTGGACGGTGGAGTGAGGTGGAATTTGGAGGGAGAGCAAAAGGAGGAGAAGGGAGTGCATGCAATTGGGACGATGATGATGGTGATGTTGTTGGTAATGATGTTGTTGGTGATGGTGCGCATGGTGATGATGCAGATGATACTGATGTTGATGTTGATGCTGATGATGCTGATGACGATGACGATGACGATGATCATGGACATGGTGATGGTGATGGTTTTGGTGGTGGCGGTGATGATGGTGCTGCTTGTGATTACGATCATCATGGTGTTGATGCTGTCGCCGACGGCGGTGATGATGACATTGATGTTGATGATGAGGATGCTAATGCTGACGATCATGCTGGTACTGATGCTGATCATGGCGATGATGATTGCAATGGTCATGGCCATGATCATGCTCATGGCCAGGGTCATGGACACATTGATGGAGGTGGTGATGATGGTGATGATGCTGGTGATGATGTTGACGATGATGATTGTGGTGGTGATGGTGATTGTGATGGTGATGATGACTGTGGTGGTGATGGTGGTGGTGGTGGTGCCTGTAATGAGAAGAAGGGGGCATCACGGGGATGATCACGCATCGTGGAGGGAATGAGAGGGAAATGAAAGAGACACATGATATAGTATGATGCAATGATGATTGGGGGAGCAGGGGGAGGAGGAGGAGGAGGAGGAGGAGGAGGAGGAGGAGGAGGAGGAGAAGGAAAAGGAGGGTGAAGCAATGACATTGAATGGGCCGATTGCTAACCGATGTTTATCTAAGCATTCGATTCGGCCTGGCTTGAGCTAGTACTTGGGCTATATGCCCTCGTGAAAACAAATTACGGACACTCACAAATCGTCCCGAATCGTATGCAGTCCTGCAGAGAGCGCTAGTCACTCATGACAGCCCCCTGCAGCGCGACGAGGAATCCACGAGGAAACCCAGACCAGAGTTACCCCCCCCAAGCAGCGGCGCATGGAAGAGCGCAGGGACAGAGGACAGGAGGGAGAGAGAGAAAAGAGGAACGGGGGGAGGGCAGCGATGGCGGGGGGGAGGGAGGGCCACTCCCATGGCCCATGCCCTTGCCCCGCCATCGCGGGGACGGCAGCCCATGAGACCCGCAGGCCCCCCCCCCACACGGCACGCGGCGCGAGAGCCCCCGAGAAGCAAGGCGTCGGCCACCGGCCCACCGCCGGCGCCCTGCGCCGAGCCCCAACGCCACAAGGGGCGGCCCACGACGGCGGGCCCCACTCGGCTGTGGGCGGCGCGGCCGCTCTTTGCGCTCGGTTCAGTGCGCGCCTTCCTGCCGATGGCGCCACCCAGTCGATGCGCGGGCCTGTCGTCGCGGCGTCGTGCGGGGCGCCCCCGCGACGCGTTCCCGGAGGACGTCGGCATCTCCTGAAGGAACCGTGCTCGATCCTCGATCCGCGATGACAGATCCGATCGCGCCGCAGCGGTCGCAGCCCCTCCGTCGGTCTCGAAGTGCTCCGCGGGCTGCGCTGCTGGCGCCTCGGCCAGCACAACATTCATGCGCGGGCTCAGCGGGACGAACGCCGAGGCCTTGCTGGTGAGAGGTGTGCACTCCTTTTCGGGCACCTCTGATGTATCTCCCGAGGCAGCTCGCTGCGCAGTGGCGATGTCGTGAGTTGGGAAGGTGGTGTCCTGAGTTGGCACCGCCGCTATGACGGTCTCGAAGGGCCTGGCTCTTCCATCCTCGGCTCCGCCTCCTCCATCCTGACCGACTTCCACATCTGCCTCGCCAGCCACATCAGCCTGCGCGCCGCGAGGCGAACCAGCAACCGCGAGTCTCAGCGCGCGGCCGAGCATGGCCACATGCTGGCTTCGATGCTAGTTATTCGATATCCTTGGAGGTCTTTGTGCAGGGCGAGGTCAGCACGGCCCTCCGCTCGCGCGTACTGCGCGCGGCGCCCCGCGGCCGACAGATCCGGTCGGCGGGCGCCGCTCTGGCATCAGTTCCATGGCCCACGGCGGGACGACGGGGCGGGGCGCGACCAGGACGAGAGGGAGGGGAGGGCAGCGCGGGAAGCGCTTGACGAGGGAGGAGAGAGGAGAAAGCGGGGAGGAGGAGGAGGAGGAGGAAGAGGAGGCGGC